TGTGAAGTGAGGACTTGATAGAAGATAGAAAACGAGAATGGCAAGCATAGAAAGCTACCAGAGACAAGCCTATGTTTATTGTATATGAAACAAGCCTGTAAGCAATTCCAAATCGAATAAACCCTTAGCAAATCGAATAGAAACAAGTTTCAAAACAGTATAATCACAACCCATCAGAAACTCGACCCACCGAACAAACCCTTAGCAAATCGAATAGAAACAAGTTTCAAAATCCTTAGCAAATTAAAGTATAATCAGTACCTCTATAAATGTGTGCATTTCCATTCCACATCGTGCAGATCTCTAGCAAACTAAAAAGTTAGGAGTAAAAGTTCTTGATGTTTAATTTTCAAAAAAAAAAAGTTCTTGATGTTTATCACAAGTTAAATGCAATTAGACAAACCCCAGATAAAACTACACACAAATCGAATAGAAACAAGTTTCAAAACATCACCACTCTTATGTAGATAAATTTGTTTAAACATTTCACTTAGACATTTTTACAAACGGTTAATAGACATAAGAAAACAAAACGTTAGGAATGAAGTTCTTCATGTTTATCACAAATTAAATGCAATTCTACCAACCTCAAAAGAAACTACACAGAAATTGAAATGAAATCGTAAAAACTAAAAAATATTTATTATGTAAAAAAGCTTTTTTACCTAGATAATTAGGAACAAAGGTCTTAGGCGATAGAGATCAAGCAACTTGATATTCTGGAGGACGGACAGCGAGGAGATCCGGCAGCAAGGAGCAGCGAGGAGATCCGGCAGCGAGGAGATCCGGCAGCGAGGAGCACTGGCAGCGAGGAACACCCGCAGCGAGGGTCGTCCGAGAAGCTTCCGGAAACGCAGAGCTTAGTGTGTCGTGGAAGTTGAGTTACGGAAGTGTATTGTGAGTTGTGACCCTTCTCAGCCGATGTCTGCTTATTAGGGTTTTGATATTGAGACTTCACATTTAAATGGAAACATTTTATAAGGGTCTAATTTGAACGGACATGGAAACTATTTTCTTTTAATTTTAAAACTGACCCCGAATCAGATCCAATTTAATTAGAATTATGAATATGACCCCGTTTTTACCTTCTATAACGGGTAAAGCTAGGAACCGACGTGGATAAAGTTTAAATTTTACAAATTTAACCCGTCCAACAACATGAAACTTTAATTAATTATGAATATGACCCCGTTTCAGTATACCATAACAGTTAAATATTACCCCATATTAAAGGCTAGTTATAGAATGCATATTTTGCACTAGTGTGTGAATATACATTATTCCTTCCTCCATATTTTACACTTCAAACAGTACCTACCTCAAAATGTCGTATTCACAAATCAAGCTGAGCTGTTTTCTCAACATTGGGCATTGACAAAGCTGCAAAAAGTTAAATTTACCGAGACTTATCAATTATTGATTGAGGAACAACTTACCCCTAGATCTTTTTGTAGTGCTAGAGCAAGAATTGAAGTAGTGAAATGACAATTACATGTTGATCTCAAGCTGAATGTGGATGCATTGTTTTATCTAGATGGTTTGACAGGGGTGTGATTCTTCATTCGCACTCACGTGACCTTGTTGCTACACTATGCTTTCCTATTTCGGCTAGATCGGCTTCTAAGGATGAATTGACGGCGTTACATGATTCAGTTCTTTGGACGATTAGTCATGGATACAAGAATTTGAAGCGGGATCCGACTCTTCATCTACCATTCGAGCCATCTATGATATATCAGTCTGGTTGGGAATTGGAGGAAGACGACGGAGAATTTGAGAGGTGTTGAAGGAAATTTTATATCGTGTGCTATCGCTTAGATAGAATATGTATTAAGACCTTTTTATGTAAATGATGTATTATGAGGCTATTGACTCATATTTGTAAATTCTACTCTATCTCCTCCTTTCTTTAATGAAACTTCTAACCCTAGCTCCTCCTTTCCTTCTTTCAACCGGCCGCCCGTAACACAAATTGCTACCACGATCCGTATGTGAAATGGATGCCATACTTCATCATCGTACGAATAGATCCAGAAATTTCCATTTGGCATCTTTTCTCCGTGGTCAAAGCTCGTGAACCCGTCCTGACAATTGTAAAGGGTTTTCCGACGCTATCCGCCCCAGCCGCAAGCCACATGTCTACCGCCGCCGCCGCCCGCTGGATTTATTTCTGAAGGCTGACGTCTCCCGATGATCCGTTGCCTAAACTCGATGCCGTTTTCCGGATCCGCTGGTGGAGGATGGCTCACTTCAGTAAGAAATTCTCCTGGTGCAAACCTGCGAGAGACTAATTAAGACAATCCAGATGCTTCACACTCACACAGGTTCAACTCCGGAAAGGCAACGTTACTTCACACTCACACAGGTTCCTTTGTTTACAGTTTTCTTAAGAATTATAGTTTACTGTTTATATATATACATTGTGCAGTGGCGGAACTAGGGGGGAGCGAGCCGGTGCTGCCGCCCCCCGTTCGCCGGAGGTTTTAGTGTATATATATGTATATATACATGCTCAGCCCCGTCTCAATAATAATATGTACTAACTGATCCGTGTCTAACTCAATAGGTTGAGTAGCACAGATGGATGATGAGTTTTAGAGCTGCAGGGAGACCCGGGTTCGATCCTTGCTAAGTCTCCTTTTTTAATTACTTACTCCATTACACTTCTTCCTCTACTTATCTCTTAACCTTTTGGAATGTTATTAGTTTTAATATTTTTCCTACCACATTTCTTTTACTTTTATGTTGCATTTTTATTTTTCAAATTCAAAATATTTACTCCGTATTTTGTACTTTTTCGAATATTAACATGTTATTTACATTTTTGTTTAGTACAAGAACAACAAAAAATGACTTTTAGCTATTGCTTCCCCCTTCAAACATTGACCTATATCATTTTATAAAAAGTTTATCAATAAACTTTTCAAAACAACTTGAATTTTATATTTATTCCTTGGGTTGGTACAAATATGTCAGATTTTCTTGTTGATATTTGAAATATCTGACTTTATATGAGTATAATTAGATTCATGTAATACTTTTGCAAAAAATAAAATATCCTTTTAAAAAATAAATAACCTACTTGTAACGCTATTTGAAAAGAGAAAAAAATTATTATTTTGTTGATAAGTTAGTAACTTATATATATACTCCGTATGTTATTAATTTATCTTCCTCTACATGTTTAGCTATATTTCTATTTAAACCTTTTTATTCTAAAATAAAAGGGAAAGCGTATTAAATCGAAATAAACTCATTTAATAAATGTAGTCTATTATTTTGTTTAGGCACTAACAAATCAGTTATACAAATGAATAAATGTCGATATTTAAGTTGATGTGTTTACGTATGTGTGCGCTTGTGTGTGAATTATATATAGTTACAAATAAAGTGTCACTTCATGCAAATGGAAATAATATTATATAGTAATTTGAGATCAAATTACCATAAATATACCCTAAAACGATACAGATTATGAATCTTCCCAACTAGTGGTTCAAAATGTTTTTAGCCCCTGCTCAAATTTTGTTCTGGTTCCGCCACTGACATTGTGTATTTGTGTATATGCAAGTTATACCCGTTTGGCTTATACTTATACTATTATACTATTATACCTCTGTATATAACGTTTGTCCTCCATCACACCAGTCCGTTCCATATGAGTTTTGTATTGTCCAGTATTTATGTTTGCCAATATTCCCATATCCCTTGATTAAAACAACTTGTTCTCGTAATTGTATTTGGCTTTGCCCGCTTTGGGGTGGGAGGTGGCGTGTATATCTCCTGAAATTACATAACAATCTTTAAATCTTTAGTACAGAAGATTAAATTTCAATATGAAATAAATTTTACCTTTGCACCTAACAAGCCAAATTCTTTAGTTGACGGTAGAACGCCTACAATAGGCTGCTTGTACACCCACTCCTTGAGCTTATTGTCATCGACCTTTTCAGTTTCTCCATCAATGGACTGGATGTTACGCAGTGTGGCTTTAGGTGGAGGCAGTTCATTCAATGTCTACACCATGACAAAATGAGTAGGTTTAAATTAGTTTGCAAATTGAAGCTTATGAAGTAAAATAAACTGCGGGAGGGTCAATTTGATTATTCTCTATTATACATAGGCCATATTAGTGTACAGAGTTGTAGAATATGAACTATAATTTGCTATATCTAGATTAGTTGAACATATTACTATAAAATACTCTTTTTGAGATATAGAGTTATTCATTTGATATGAAGTAGTCAATCAAAGATGAGGCAGTAGGAAATTTGTGATACCGTTTAAGTTTCAATTGCAGGATTAGTACAGAAGATATTAAAATGAGTAATCTGAGGAGCAAAACAGTAACAAATCAAAAGAAGAAGAAGAGATGCTTTCAATCGCTGTATACTTACTTTCAGCAGACCATCTATTTCAGAAATTTTTGGAACCTTTCCTTTAACCGATGGTTCTTCTCTAGGTGCACTCCGTGATTCCTGATACACTTGAATGCATTTTTAATATGCGTCTCTCCAGTAGCAGCAGAAGACGTGGCTTTCTGTTTACTGGATTTCCTTCCTTCAGCCTCAAGGACTGGTATAGCAATGCCATCTATTGTCTCCTGAGGGGAAGCGAAAGCATCCCCCATTGCTTGTTTTTATTCGACATGAAAATGTTTACCCCGGCGTCAGTCGCCCTTGTTGCGGCTATGGCTGAACCAGTTGGGTCCATCCCTAATAGGGACGGGCTTTGGGTTTGATTATGTTTTTTTAATTAAATAGGTGGGTACCGACCCGGGCTCGGTCTTGTTTAGGCTCCGATCGGAACCAGTACCATAGCCGCAACAAGGGCGACTGAAGCCGGGGTAAACATTTTCATGTCGAATAAAAACAAGCAATGGGGGATGCTTTCGCTTTCCCCACAGGAGACAATAGATCGCATTGCTATACCAGTCCTTGAGGCTGAAGGAAGGAAATCCGGTAAACAGAAAGCCACGTCTTCTGCTGCTACTGGAGAGA